AGTTTTCCTATTTCTGCACCCGGAGGCCCCCCCCCCCCCCCCCCCGCACTAAGGGATAGCACCTGGGTTCCGTCACCATCTAGAGTCTCCCAAGCAGCATGTGTCCAAGCCATACTCCAGGGCAGTGTGGGTTTGTCTGGAGCTGACGGGCTTCGGGTCAGGGCCTGACTGTTGTCTCTCCGTGCAGTAAACCACTCGTTCAAGAAGATTGAGTTCCAGCCTCCAGAAGCCAAGAAGTTCTTCAGCACAGTGCGAAAGGAGATGGCTCTGCTGGCCACCTCACTGCCCGATGGCATCATGGTCAAGACATTCGAGGACAGAATGGCAAGTGGGCTGCTGGGAACTTGGGGAGGCCAGATAGAGGTACCATTGGGAGCTACCTTGCCATGTTTCCAGGGATGGTGGCTCAGTCACCTGAGGTCCCAAAATGGAGTCCTGCAGCCACATGGGCACATTTGAGGGGCCACCTGGTCCTTCCTCTAAAATGTAACCAAGTGATATTGGCACACACCTTTAACCAGTCGGGAGGCAGAGGCAGATGGATCTTTTGAGTACAGACCAGCCTGGTCTATAAAGCAAGTTCCAGGACTACACAGAAACCCTGTCTTGAAAAACAAAACAAACATAAGTAGCTTTGAACCCTAAAGCGTAGGAGGAGCTTTCGTGTATCTTCCCTGATTCCCCCAAACCAGAGGCCTTTCCTCACTCTCGGCTCCTTCCAGGGAACTTGTCTGTCACAGCACTGCCCTCGGTGTCAGCGCAGCAAATGGTTCTTTTTGTGGTTGGTCATCCCAGCTGCCCTGTAGGCTGATGCCAGGAGCTCACAGTGCTCCTGACTCCGCCTCTCAAGTGCTGGGATTGCAGGTGGAAGCTGGCACCCAACCCTACCTGAGCGTCCCAGGGACACCTGTTTTACCTGGTAGAGTTCTTTGAGAATTTCAGCCAGTGCAGCTCTGCTGAGGGAGTGTAGAGCACCGACTTTTGGTTTGGTTTGGATTTGGTTTTCAAGACAGGGTTTCTCTGTAGCTTTGGAGCCTGTGCTGGAACTAGCTCTTGCAGACCAGACTGGCCTCGAATTCAAGAGATCACCTGCCTCTGCCTCCTGAGTGCTGGAATTAAAGGCATGCACCACCATTGCCTGACTACTTTTGTTTTGTTGATGCTTTTTTTCCCCCATGTCTTCAAAACATCTCAGGGTACCTCAAAACCCCACGGAAGAAAGGGTCCTTCTTTCTCTCCATTTTCCCAGCTACTCTCTGCTCTACTCTGGTGCCCTGGCAGGAGCGACCTCATTCACGTGCCTGTATCCTGATGTCACAGTTGTTCTGGCCTCTGCCAGTCCTTGCCATTGAGCTCGGACCCCCAGTACCTTCCTTCCAGCTGTGTGACTACACTTCTGCCCCCAGAAGTGAAAGCAGACATTTGGGTTAGCTGTCTCCATGGCTGTGACTCTGGAGTTCTGCTTCCTCCCTGCTCTGTGTGCACAGTGCTCTGGGAGGAAGCGAGGCCAGACTCCAGAAGCCAGCCTTTGTCTGTTCCCTCCAGGACCTCTTCTCAGCACTGATCAAGGGCCCCACTCGGACTCCTTACGAAGACGGCCTCTACCTGTTTGACATTCAGCTTCCCAACATCTACCCAGCGGTGCCCCCCCACTTTTGCTACCTCTCTCAGTGCAGTGGCCGCCTGAACCCCAACCTGTATGACAATGGGAAGGTGTGCGTCAGCCTCCTGGGTACCTGGATTGGAAAGGTAAGGATGGGCCCCAGTGGAGATGGTGGCACAATGGGGCTGATGTACACCTGGGATAGACCTGAAGGTTCCATTTGTGTTTCAGGGGACAGAGAGGTGGACAAGCAAATCCAGTCTTCTCCAGGTGCTCATCTCTATTCAAGGTATGACGGGCTCACAGGCACACCGACGGGCTGTTCCCCAGCCTGCCCTCGTGTGTTTGCCCACTAACTGGACTCTTTCCGGCAGGTCTGATCCTGGTAAATGAACCATACTATAACGAAGCTGGCTTTGACAGTGATCGAGGCCTGCAGGAAGGCTATGAGAACAGTCGCTGCTACAATGAGATGGCCTTGATCCGTGTGGTGCAGTCCATGACCCAGTTGGTCCGACGGCCTCCTGAGGTCTTTGAGCAGGAGATTCGACAGCATTTCAGTGTGGGTGGCTGGCGTCTGGTGAACCGCATTGAGTCCTGGCTGGAAACCCACGCCATGCTGGAGAGGGCCCAGGCACTGCCCAATGGGGTCCCTAAAGACAACAGCTCTCTGGAGCCTCAGGCTGTAGCTGAACTCTCAGATTCCGGCCGTGAAGAGCCTGAGGATGTAGGGATGGCCCCTGGGGACGCCTCCCAGGGCTCAGACTCAGAGAGTGGTGCCCAGGGCCCAGCCTCAGCCAGCAGGGACCACACAGGGCAGACTGAGACAGCCCCTGATACGTCAGCACCACCAAGCGTTAGACCAAAGAGGAGGAGGAAGAGCTACCGCAGCTTCCTGCCAGAGAAGAGTGGCTACCCTGACATCGGCTTCCCCCTCTTCCCGCTTTCCAAGGGCTTCATCAAGAGCATCCGGGGGGTCCTGACGCAGTTCCGCACCACCCTCCTTGAGGCAGGCATGCCCGAGAGCACAGAGGACAAGTAGCTCCCAGGCCTTGAAAAAGGAGTGTCACGGTGGGAGAGGCCAGCCGCTGCCTGCTCCCTCCCTTCCTGAGAACTTGCCCCTCTCCCTGCCCCTCTGTCCCCAGTTGGAGCCTTCCACTTCCCTCCTCCCTGCGGCAAGTTTGATGAAGTGCAAGAAGTGTCCCTCAGCCACGTTCAAAGGCAGGTCCCTGGGGCACTGGGACCTCCATTGCCGGTCCTCTGGTTGCTCCAGCCGAATGTCCTGGCACTTGTTCCCTAGCCGTCCCTTCTCAGGTCAGAGGTGGGGTGTTGAGGAACCTACAGATGGCAGGAGGGTGGACGTGCCTTGCATGACGTGTGGCTGCTCCTGCAATGCTCCTGGTCCCTTTCCTCTTCAGCTTGACTGTAGCCTCCCCACACCCCAGGTCCTGCTGCCACACTGGGTCCTCTAGTCCCCCATGCCTCCATCTCTTGGAGCTGTGGCTGGCTTGGCCTGTCAGTGCGTTACAGCCCTTAGGCCTGTTGAACTTCCTCTCTAAGAGAGGTTGAGACTGAGCTAAGGTTCAGAGTAACACCCAAGAGAGGTGGTAGCCCTCACATACAAATATGGAGTCAAGGACAGGGTGCTGCTGGGAAGGAAACGACTGTAGGTGCCTTGTGTGGGCAGTACTGACATCTCCATGCTGAGACCACAGGGCATCTGCACAAACCAGGCCAGCAACAAGGGCCTCCCAACGGCCCCACCCAACGGCTCCTGTCAGCCTTGCTTATAGACTCTGCAGGCCCAGTTGGAGGGAGGAGGGAGGCTGGATGGCGGCAGGAGCTCCCCCCACCCCTACAGGCCCAGAGGTTTACAAGTTTCTAAGCTTTTGATAATGTGAAGCTCCAGGTAGAGGATGCTGGTGAGCAGACTGCAGCTGTTATTCCTGCTGTATGTGTGTAATATTTAAGGTTGGGAAAATAATCTCAGAAGCAAAGATACTAACTCTTACTAGAAAAAAGACAAATAAAAAGTAAAACAGACAAAAAAAAGCCAAAGCATGATGCGTCTTGTCAGCTTTAAGTGGGCTCCGTGCCTGTGCTGTGCCAGGACCACCGGGCATCAGAGCCTTGGGAAGGACAGAGCCAGAAACTGGAACACTCAGCAGGAACCTGTTGGTACCTCGCGGACATGATGAGTGCCGGGTGGGGCTGTGCATCCCAGGGCATCATTCATGTGGAGATGTGAATGCCCGCTGCTTATAATATCTGTATAAAGTGCTGTGTGATTAAACTTTTTTTACTTGCCTTTTTTGGGGGGCTGGCTCATTAACAAGAAAAGGGGACACCATTAAAACTGCCTCTGCCATTTGTTCAGGCTCTGCTGCTTTCTCTGTGCCAGAGGCCACCCTTCCATGCCCTTTCCTCAAGGGAGCCTGGCAGTGGGTCCTTCTCCAGTCATGGGGTCTGTGGGGTGGACAGCTAAGTGTCCTGATGGCAGTCAGCTCCACACTGGGTAGTGGACACCAGTGTGCTGAGTTCCAGATTCTGGGGGAACTGACGTCACAAAATCTAGCGATGGGCAGGTGTCACTGTTCCGGGCTGCAAGTTGGAATGGTTGTCCCAGTTAGGGGGAGGTGGCATCTACCGCTTTCCTGCTGCTTCCCCTATTCCTGTTAGAAGACAAGTGGGCCGAGAAGATGTCGTGGGTGTAACTACTGCCTGTAATTTTTCAGTTTGAAATGTGTTGTCAGAATCTCTTCACTGGAGAGAGATTAGCAAGTCTCCAGGTCCTGACAACAAAGTTCGGGTCCACTGGGAAGCCAGTGAGCTTTCTGGGCTCAGTTGCGGATCATGGGTGAGGGTTTAGTCACAGGAGCAGAAGGGACTAGTCACTAGAAAGTCCACCCAGCACAGGTAATGGTTTCCCTGGAGCCACGTGGATGGGATGTCCCCACTCCCCTCCCACCCCAGCACTCCCAAGACCACTTGAAATTAGGGCAGAATTGTATAGAAATGGCCAGGAGATACCAGCGTCTCTTTGGCAGTGCCTAGTACGCAGGCCCAGGTGATCACCCACTCTCAACAGGATCTGTCTCCTGTTTGCCAGTCTCCCCGAGGCTTCTAATGCAGTCCACTCAGGGTGCCAACTGGATCTGAAGGCAGAGCCTCAGTCTTCCCATGTGGGGATGGGGCAGCTGGCCAGGCTTTGCGGGCCTCCGCAGCTGAAGGGAGTCTGTGTGCTCAGCACCAACATGACTGTGCCATGGGCACATAACAGTGATCATGTGCTTGCATAGCATGCCAGAGACACTGGGTTCAATCCCCAGTACAATTTCATAGCCCTTGCTAGTGTAAAACCCCATCCTCTTCCCAGTCCTAGAACAGGATCAGCAGATTGGAAGTCACTTTATTTGGATTTGAGTCTCAGAAAGGCTCCAAGCACAATGGTAAGTGCCTTCTAGATGCAACTGCCCAGCCAGAGGGTGCCTGCCCAGCTTCGCCTTCTAGCATTTAGGGGGCAGAGCCTTTCTTACAGCCCCGCCTTCCTACTTTCCCTACAGGGTCCCTACCACCTCCCTGTGAGCTTTAGATAGCCTCCCATATGAGGGCATGGATGCAGGAGAGGGTCCCATCTCAGTGTAGACAGACAAAGGCACGGAGAGCCAGGGAATCATAATGGCTTTTCTGGAGATGGCCTCGGCTGAGGCTCCCAGCTGGATGGGGCATCTCTGCTGCCACAAACCATCCAAAAATAGTTTGGGTGCACTTGGCCCTGCACGGCTTCGCATGTCATTGACTCCCCATCCACGGAAAACATGCCCCTCTGGTTCTTGGGCTCCAGGCGGAAGGCAACCACAGGCACGTGCACCAAGTATGGGCAGTTATAGTCCATATGCTTGCCCTTCTGCATGGCCAGGAAGAGACGCAGCAGCGTGGCCCTTGACACCCCCGCACGCACGTAGAACAGATGCATAACGCCAGCCTCACAACGGCCCATGGGTGCTGCGAACATCTCGGTGCTCAGGTGGGTATGTAGCAGTACCAGCACCAGAACAAAATCCTGTTCCGGCACCACGGTCCAGTGAGAAGGCACCGGCTCCTCCAGGGGAACAAGGTATGTGTCCACAGGGCCCTGGTGCGCCTGTGCCGGAGAAGCAGGCATCTCCGAGGCAGCATTTCCTACAGGAAGGTAGGCCAGTTGGCCCTGGTAGATTCGCAGGGTTGCTAGGCGAAAGATGGTCCCCATTGTGAAACGGATCTCCCCCAAGCGCCTGTACTTCTCACTCTCCAGGTCCACATCAGCAACGAAGCCCCAGGACAGGCTGAGCACAGAATAGAGCTGCAGTCCGGAAGCCGTGTGTAGTGACAACAGATTCATGGGTGACAGGTGTCGGCGGCATAAGAGCAGCGTGCAGTTGGTCAGGAGGGCTTCGCTAGTTACCTGCTCGTACCTGCAAGGTTAAAGTTCAGGTGGAACGGGGCAGGAGCCCTCATGCATCCCCTTTTAGATCTTTTGGGGGAGACGGTGGACCTGGGGAGTTAGTGGACCCAGTGACCCAGTAAACTGAGGATGCAGCTCCAGAAGAGACCGTGGAGCTTCCCACAGGAACTTGGAAAACCTGGTGGTAGGGGACGTGGCCTGCTTGGACCCTCAGCTGTTACCCAGCATAGTAGTTCAAGGAAGCCGCCAGTGCGTTGCCGGACCCTCCGGGGAGGCTACACAGGGGCTTCCGGATGGCAATCTCCCAGTCAGGCCGTGACATCAGCCCATTCACCACCTGTGAAAGCAGAGTGGCCTCAGTCCAGGAAACTATCCCAAACCCTCTGGGCCATCCTCCAGCTCAGTTCTTACCTCGTGCATGAGACCATCACCGGACATGACCGCCAGGGCATCCCAGTGGCTCAGTTCCTCTGCACACACCAGCTCCCTGGCATGGTTCGGCCGTTCTGGTGGAGGATTTGATGCTCTCAGTGCTGGCTTTCTGGCAGAAAATGCTCCCTTTACCCCCTGGGGACAGTACTCACCAGTGAGCGTAAGTTTGAAGGATACTTCAGCCTCCTCCAGGAGGGGTTGCACAAATCTCTGGAAGAGCTGCAGAGCCTTGCCCCTGCCGCTCCGGGGGTTCAGCAGCACCAGCACTCTGCAGGGCCGCGGGAGCAATCCCCTAGGGCAGCCTGCTATAAAAAAACAAACCAGGCGGGGCTGCAGAGAGGATTCAGGAATTTGAAGCACTGGCTGAGGATCCAGGTTCGGTTCCAGCACCTGGATGGTGGGTGATTCACAATGGCCCCAAACTTCAGTTCCAGGGGAATCCTACGCTCTTTTCTGACCTTCAAAGGCACCAAGCACACATTTGGGCGCACACACATACATACACACATGCCATCAAAACACTCATACACAAAAATCAAACCTTTAAATAAAAACAGCCTGGCAGTGGTGACGCACACCTTTAATCGCAGTACTTGGGAGGCAGAGGCAGGCCTGATCCTGATCTATAGAGTGAGTTCCAGGATGGGCAGTGCTACATAGAGAAACTTGTCTTGAAAAACCAGAAAGAGAGAGAGAAGAGAGAGAGACAGAGAGAGAGAGAGAGAGAGAGAGAGAGAGAGAAGAAGAAGAAGAAGAAGAAGAAGAAGAAGAAGAAGAAGAAGAGAGGGAGGGGGAAAAGAAAGAAAAGAAGAGAGAAAGAAGGCAATGTCCCCAACTAGCCGCTAGAGGGCGAAAGAGCTACAGTGACATAACCGGAGGAGCCCACTACTTGGGTAACAGCCCTGCAAGAGGAAGCGGCCTCCCACAGGTTGTCCCAGAGTGGGACTCCGCAATACCTCTTTCTTTGGCTCAGGGCCAGCCGACTTCTGGCCTTGTGGGATAAAATGCTTCTCTCGAGCGACCCTAGGCTTTTTATGGCCCATCGTTTATTTATTGGTCAAAGGGATCCATCCCTTTAGCTTTTCCCAGACAGGTACCCCACAAACCTGGTTCCATAGCCAGGTCCCGGGGGGGCTCCCGCTGACAAGGGGCCACCAGCGCTGTCCCGGCGCTGCTAGGGGTGACGGCGACTCCTGTATTCAGCTCCTTATCGGTGTTGCCCAGGAGGGTGTCTGGCGACTGGCTGTGGGGCTCGCCCTCTCCACCTCCCTGGGCTGTGAGAGCGGCCCCGTCATTCCCCGAGGCGGCCAGATCTGGGGGACAGGAGGAGACAGTGTTGGTGGGGGTCGCTGCCTGGGCTCTGTGCATGTGGGGCAGCGTGCCCAGCCAGAGCTCCTAGACCTCGCGGAGGGAGCTGCATGCTACGGAATCACAGAGCCCCATGCGTCCAGAATCAAGCTTTCCAAACAGATCTCCCACCCCACGAACGTTCCGTTCCAGAGGACTCTGGATTCCGGCCCGACGAATGAGTCAGTGACCCGTGGCTCCCTTCGTCAGGCCTCTTCACCCCTTGGGGTTGGTGGAGAGTCCCGGTGCAAAAATTCCCAGAACTGGCATTGCTAGGCGCTCACTCTGGTCCAGTCGCCGCGTCCCCCGCCTGAATTCCGAAGCCGCTGGGTCTTCAAAAGGGGTGCTCGCTGCGCTCTTGAGAACAGTGCCCAGGTCCTGCAAAATCCAGCCCGTGCTGGATGGACCCACGGCTGCCTTCTGCGCTGCCCCAGCACAAGTGTGCACTGAAGGCACAGACGTGTGGCGGTCTCCCTGGCGGGCCCACGAAGGCACCGCCAACTACGGGAGGGCGGGGGTGTGGAGGACGTCCCTACCCAGTCGGTCCCTCTAGCGGCCTGTAGCGGAAAGCATCTCCTCTGGGCTCAACCTCGCGACTGAGGGACAACTGAAGCACAGGGTTGGCACCGATTCCCAGGGATCGTTCCCCTCCGGTCTCAAACTTTTCGCTCAACTTGGCTGCGGTGCGGGGAGGGCGCTGAGTCTCTGCGCCAGCCTGGCCACGCCCCACGTGCCTTGGGCTCTCCTGGGTGGAACCAGCGCAGCTCACCGCCCTGGTCCCCCACCCGCCCCGGATCATCACAGTGCCGCCCGCAACACGGTCGCTGCGACCCACGGCTCGGCCACGTGCAGATGTTGGGGGTGGGGGACTGGATCCCTGGACCCGATTGTGCATCCCTGTCGAGGACAAGCTGGAGGAACAGCTCAGGAAATCAGCGAGGCGTGGAGTTCCGCGCAGGGCTTTAAGTAGCGCGAAAGCGAGGGCGCAGCCCAGATCCCCTTGCCCAGCAACCGAGTGGGCCTCGGGTGCGCTTGGTTCCGCGCTCTCTCTGAGGACCCTGGGCTGCACCTCAACCGCTGCTCACAGTAGGGAGGCGGAGCCTCTTTGGCATCGCCTAACCCCAGCCTGATCAGAGAATTACACACCCAGATCCTTCCTGCTGTCCTAACTCTGGGCCAGGTCGGGTCACCCGCCACCCGCAAGCTTCTCTTGCTCCCCTGTTCCTTCGTGGTGGATTTACTTTTAGCTTCCAGACGCAGCCGCTGGACCACTCAGCCGCCGAACCCGAAGCAGTTTGTCATGCCTTCCGGGAGAAAGCTGAACCGGTTTGGGGACTCCTAGCTGGAGCGCGAAGTCCGGAGGAGGGAGCCTCCTCAGCAACCTCCAAAGTTGGAGCCTTTCCCCCAGGAAATACTGTCGAGGCCTGGGCAGCTGCCTGCAGCGGATGATCCGGATCCACAGTCCTCACCAACTGGAGAAACCCAACAGGGTGGACAGAGGAACTGGGGGGCTCTCACCGGGATTGGAGGGGCAAGCATGGGGGCGTGGTCCCACCGCTCCCCACCCCCTGGGGCAAGTTCCTGGTGAAGATGCACGAGACCGGGAGTGTGCGCTTCGGTGGAGATAAACAGGACGCATGGGTCGTTGTGTAAGTGATGTATTTCACGGCAAATGACCTAAGGGGGTCCATAACTAACCCGACTTAAATTTCTGGAAGATTATTCGCGGAGATTGGGAAAATGAAGCTCCCAAGTCCGACTCTGACCTACCCAGGCAGGACCAAAACAGACACCAGACCCGCGGAGGAAGGAAGTTGCAATGGTCCGGCTCCAGATGCGGAGGGCTCGCACGCCCACACCGGCCCCCGCGCGACCCCACACACCTCTCTCTTTGCATCGCCTTCTTAAAGTCCAGAAGGTGCTAGTTCCGGAGGAGCAGGGGAGCAGATAACAAGGCGTTGCAGTGAACTGGGTCACGCCTTGAAGGTGGCTTCTCTCCCAGCGGACTCCTGAGTTCCCAACCGAGTTTCTCACTATTTTAGGGGTCCCCGGCTGGCCAGGGGACGCAGGCTGAACCTGCGGTTCCGCACGCGTCTCTGCAATATGTACCTTGGCTCTGCACCGCCCCGGGACAGCTTGACCCGAGTCTTCCGAGAAGGTGACTCAGCGACACACTCGCGGGTGGAGAAACTCCCGGAAACAAAAAACTAGAGGAGTTGGAGGAGGCACGGGCGTCATCATACACCCCCAGTGCCGCCGCGCGTGGCCACGGAGATCTGGTCCTGCACCCACCCCCATCTCCGGCTTCCCACCTCACACCCCAGGAATCCAGCGCGGACAGGGGATGGCGGCTCTGCAGCCGCAGTGCCGCGGTCACGCGCTGCGAGGACGCGAGCGAGCCGTGGTGGGAGGAGGGGGCTCAGTCAGATCTTACTGCTGCTCGCTCCTCTTTCTGTCCTGTCCCACCCCTTTCCAGAGATTTGGTGTCTAGGTTGGCTTTGGCATCTAGCAAACTCAGGAAGCTATTGTCCCCGAGATTGCGAGCTTGGAGGGGGCTGGCTGCCCAGGCGCCTTCTTTCTCTCTCTCTCTCTCTCTCTCTCTCTCTCTCTCTCTCTCTCACACACACACACACACACACACACACACACACACACACACACATTTTTGGGGGAAGGGCTGTCTACCAAGCCTGAAAAGCTAGTTGTTAGCAACTGAAGAGGGGAAACTGAGGCATGGGAAAGGAAAGACCGGGCTGCGGGCTGCGTGTAAATCCATGCTCTAAATGCTGACCTGGAGCAGGGTCGCGTTTTTTCCTAGGGGCGTGGGGCTGGATCTTCTCAGACTGCAGGCCAGCTGGGGCGAGGTTGACGGAAGACTTTGAATTGGTGAGAGAAGCAGACCCAGCCTGCAAGGCTCTTTATCCCTGGGCCTCAGGGCCAGTTCCCTTCCTGACCCTGAAGATCCAGTGGGAGGGGGGTTCCAGTCTGGCCCCAGTTCCAGTCTGCACAATGGCTCCTCTGTACTCCCAGCTGCCTCATCCCCTGGCCTCCTCACCTCTTTGGCCTTTGTCTCTCTTATCCTCCTTACCCTCCCCCATCCTGGGCAGCCTTTCTAGACACCATCCCTTTCTAAAGAACTTTATCCTAACTCCAGAAACCTCTGGCCCCGGATCCAGGACTAGACATGAACAAGATGTTGGTTTGTGAGCCGGGCGGTGGTGGTGCACACCTTTAATCCCAGCACTCGGGAGGCAGAGGCAGGCGGATCTCTGTGAGTTCCAGGACAGGCTCCAAAGCTACAGAGAAACTCATCTCAAAAAGCAAAACAACAACAATAAAAAGATGTTGGTTTGTGTTTGTGAAACTTGAAGGAACTGAAACCCTGAGAGGTTAAGGATCTCAGTGGAGCTGTCAAACCATTTCCCAACACAGCTGAGAAGAAAGGTGAGCCCTTCCCCCAGTCTGTGAGGCCATGTCCCTCCAGAGGGGATCTGGGGATCTGTTAGCCTGGTGGATTTTCAACCTCAACAGCCTCTCCAGGTACCCAGCAGCCTGAGGGTCTCCAGGAGAAGGAAACAGCACTTACCCCCAAGTACTTCCCTCCCCATGTGCGAGCACACACACCCCCCTCCCCGTTAACCAGCCTGTGTCCAGGAAGACCCACCTAGCCTTAGCCTCAGGGGAGTCCTCCATTTTTGGCCATACCTGTCTCACAGACAAAGGCTTTGTTTTCCTCCCTGCATGGCTTTCCCAGAAAGGAAATATCTCCCTACCTCAGGCCAGACAAGAGACAAGCAAGCAGTCACGAGACCTGGCCTCTGCACCCCAGGAACTCAAGGCTACCAGGTGACCAAACATGTAAATGTTTTTTGTTATTTACATGTTTGTATGTGTGTGTGTGTGCGCGCGCACGTGCGAGCATGCACGCGTGCACTGGCATGCCATAATATGAGTATAAACGGCAACGGACTTTCTTGTTCTCTACATTGTGAGAATCCCCGGTGCTTGAACTCGGGGAGTCAGGCTTGGTGGCAGGCGCCTTTACCTGCAGAGTCATCACTGGCCCCTGTTGTTTTCCTTAGGTCGGGATGCCTGGCACCTCACCCACCGTGCCTGAAGCTACCTTCCGTGGGTGATTTTTATTTTATTTTTACGGCATTCGACAGGGCTTTGTATCCCAGGCAGTCCCTGAACTTGCTATGTAAATGAGGATGGTAGCTTCCTGACCTTCCTGCCTCTACCTTCCTAGTGTTCAGATGGCAGCTTTATCCTACCACATCAAGCTCATGTAATGCTGCCAATCAAACTCAGGGCTTTGGGCGTATGGGGCCACCACGAGACCAGCTGAGTCACTCTCCCTGTCCTTGGCAGTGGTTTTGTTTCGTAGTTTTAAAAAAGCATCTGCAGGTCCACTTAGTTTTGTGCGTGGGTTATTTGCCTGCATCTCTGCATGTACACCACACGTGTACATGTGTGTCTGTGCCTGTGGAGGTCAGGAGAGGCATTGGATCTCCTGGAACTGAAGTTATGTATGGTAGTGAGTCTCCTTACGGGTACTGTGAACTAGCCCCGGGTCCAGCCTCAAACTCAAGGCAATCCTCCTGTCTCAGCCTCCTGAGTGCTGAGATCACAAGCTCAGCTTCCCTGGTGAGTTCAGCTCCTCAAGTGCAGGCCTTCTGGGCCTCAGATTCTTTCTCTTTTTACTGTCGCTGCCTGGGAGGTTGTAAGAGAAGGGAACCGTTCACCTCTGATAACGGTAAACTGTTCCCAGACTGTCGGCTGTGTGGCTTTCCGTTCTGATTGCTCCCAGATTGCTCCATGATGGCCGTGCCAGGCATTGCTTGGGGGTGCCGCGGGCCACACAGGGAGGGTTGGAGACCCAGAGAGGCTGTGCAGGATGTCTGGCTGTGTGTTGAGTGGAGATTTCACCTGGGGTTCCTCTTCTGTGCGATGCTCTACCCCGGCTCTACCCCGGCTCTACCCTGCCCCAGCCCGGCTCTACCCTGCCCCAGCCCAGCTCTACCCTGGCTCTACCCCGCTCTACCCTGGCTCTACCCCACTCTACCCCGCTCTACCCCGGCTCTACCCCGCTCTACCCTGCTCTACCCTGCTCTACCCCGGCTCTACCCTGCTCTACCCCGGCTCTACCCTGGCTCTACTCCACTCTACCCTGGCTCTACCCCACTCTACCCCAGCTCTACCCCACTCTACCCCGGCTCTACCCCACTCTACCCCGGCTCTACCCCACTCTACCCCGGCTCTACCCCACTCTACCCCACTCTACCCCACTCTACCCCGGCTCTACTCCACTCTACCCCGGCTCTACCCTGCTCTACCCTGGCTCTACCCTGCTCTACCCTGGCTCTACCCTGCCCCAGCCCGGCTCTACCCCGGCTCTATCCCGCTCTACCCCGGCTCTATCCCGCTCTACCCCGGCTCTACCCCGGCTCTACCCCGGCTCTACCCTGCTCTACCCCAGCTCTATCTCTCTGATGGTTTGAATAGGAATGGCCCCCAGAGGCTCCTCTATTTGAGTGCTTAGGGAGTGGCATTAGGAACTCTGACCTTTGGGGTTTCAAAAGCCCCATCCAGTGCCAGTGCTCTCTCTTAGAGCTCGGAGCTCCTTCCCCAGCACCAGATCTGCCTGTGTGCCACCATGCTTCCGGCCACTCGGATAATGGACTAACCTCTGAAACATTAAGCTAGCCCCAGTTAAATGCTTTCCTTTAGAAGGGTTGCCATTGTTATGATCTCTCTCTCTGTCTCTCTCTCTCTCTCTCTCTCTCTCTCTCTCTCTCTCTCTCTCTTGTTTTTTGAGACAGGGTTTCTCTGTGGTTTTGGAGCCTGTCCTGGAACTAGCTCTTGTAGACCAGGCTGGTCTCGAACTCACAGAGATCCGCCTGCCTCTGCCTCCCGAATGCTGGGATTAAAGGCGTGCACCACCACTGCCCGGCTTGTTATGATGTCTCTTTACAGCAATAGAACATGGACTAAGGGGCTGGAGAGATGGCTCAGCGGTTAAGAGCACTGACTGCTCTTCTAGAGGTCCTGAGTTCAGTTCCCAGCAACCACATGGTGGGTCACAACTACCTATAGTGGAATCTAATGCCCTCTTCTGGCATGAAGGAGTACATGCAGACAGAAAGCTCATACACTTCTTTTTCTTTCTTTCTTTCTTTTTTTTTTTTGTTTTGTTTTGTTTTGTTTTTGAAACAGAGTTTCTGTGTATCTTTGGAGCCTGTCCTGGAACTAGCTCTTGATTTCACAGAGATCCGCCTGCCTCTGCCATCTACCACCCAGTTTAAGCTCATACATTTCAAAACAAAACAAAACAACACCAATTAAGACGACCTCTTAGGAACTCTCCTTGTCCTCCTGGGCCACCTTGCTGCAGCTGGGACCCAGGCCCCCTGGGCCTTTGGACTCAGTTTCCCATATACCCTTCCCCCTCGGCCTTGTTGACCCTGGCTACAACACTCTGGAATCTGAACACCCACAGGTGTGCCATTTGGCTGATCCCAGCCACCTGCCTAAACATCCCGGTGGCTCAGAAAAGCATCTCCTTGTGTCAGCAGGCCTGGTGCTCCTGAGGTTTGGGGGGAGGGTAAATCGGAGGATGCTCCTGATTTCTGCCTATAGTCTTCGGGGTTTCTTGGGCTGTTTGTGATCACCCTGGCCTCTTCCTCTTCATCTAGCTTCACCTCTGACTTCTTAGATTTGTTTATATATCCATACAGACAATGTTTTCAAGGTTAGGCAAGCTTATCTGTACACGCACGCACACACGCACATGTGAAAGGCAAAGATTCTAGGCCATCTCTGTTCGTTTTTGAGACAGTGTCTTACTGTAGATCAGGCTGGCCTTGAGCTTGGAGATCCTTCTTCCCCCGTGTGCTGGAGTTAAAGACACACAGTGCCACCATAACCAGTTGTTCCTCTTTTTTTTTTTTTTTTTTTTTGGTTTGGCTTTTGGTCTTTCAAGGCAAGGTTTCTCTGTGTAACAGCCCTTAGCTGTCCTAGAACTTGCTCTGTAGACCAGGCTGGCCTCAAACTCACAGAGATCCGCCGGCCTTTGCCTCCGAGTGCCAGGATTAAAGGTGTGAGCCGCCACCTCCCCACAGCTGGACTTATTTTTGAGACAGTTTATCTCTTTGAAACTAGAGCTAGTTTCAGCTAAACTGGTCGGCCAGCATGCCTCTAGAATCTACCTTTCAATCCCTATCCCAGCTCCAGAGCTGAGGTCTCAGGCATGTTCCCACACACCTGAGTTTTACACTTCTGCTGGAAATCTGAACTCAGGAATTCAGCTTGCACAGCTAGCATTTAACCCACTGAGCTCCAACCCCTGAAAATATTTTCTATAATAAAATGCCCCTATGTGGCACTAGAGATTAAATACTGGCCCTTGGGAATACTCTACCTGAGCTACACTCCCAGCCCAAGATGTGTGGGTTAGACAAAGATGCAGCCTTCATTACCTCGTCTAGAAACACTCCTCAAGCTTGAAGGAGTGGGCGGGGAACCTCATAAGTTCTTAGGACCATTATGAATCAAGGTTTTATGCCTTCAGTGGAAAGACATAACAACACTAGGCATCCTGAAAGGGGGAACTGATATGAATAGTGCCTGGGGGTTCAGGAGAAAGGGGAGGAGTGCCTGGAAGCCAAGCCTACCGCCTTCTTCCCAAGCTTGGCCCAGGTGCGATTATTGCATATATCTGCAGGCAGCCAGGCTCCTGCACTATTTTGGCTACCTTGACCTTCAGATCCTGGCTTCTCCCTTGGCTTATGACAGCTCCAGCTTCCTGAGCAGATGGATTGTTCCCCAGTCCCTGGAGGAGCAAAGCCTTGCATTGGATGCTGTATGACATGTCTTCACAGCAACTCAGGCTTACCACGAATTTATTCTAACCGTTCTGGACCTGTGGTTTGTGTAACCTAGCCTTTTCTTTAGGCTGCATTCCTTGGTATAAGGACCCTTCATGACCAAAGCTAGTCATTGATACATCTTCAGAATGTATTTTCTTTCTTTTTATATTTATTTATTTTGCTTTTTCGAGACAAGGTTTCTCTGCAGCTTTAGGGCCTGTCCTGGAACTCGCTCTGTAGCCCAGACCAACCTCAAATTCAGAGCGATCTGCCTGCCTCTGCCCCTCGAGTGCTGGGATTAAAGACATGCACCACCACTGCCTGGCTTCAGATTTTATTTCAAAATTCCTTCCTTTCTTCCTTCTCCCTGTCTCTTGCAAGGTCCCTGGGATCATTGACCCCTGCCAGGTGCCCCCAGATAAATTTCTGTCTCCAGACTCCTTCTCATGTACCCCAAACTGGTCTCAAGGATAGCCTTGAATTCTTGTTCCTCGTGCATCCGCTTCTCAAGTATTGGAATATAGGCATGCGAGATCACACCCAGTTTATATGGTACATGCGCCAGGACCCCAATCTTCCTTTATGCTTCGTAAGACTCTTCCAACTGGAGCCTAGCCCCACCCTCTCTCCACATCCAGATTGTTTTTGTTGTTTGTTTTATTTATTTAATTTGAGACAGGGTCTCACTATGTATCTCTGTCTTTCCTAGGTCTTGCTATGTAGATCTTGGGAAGAGTCCCAAGTGCTGGGATTAAAGGTGTGTGCCGCTACTCCCAGGCCACCTCCAGACTCCTAGTCACATCTGTAAAGTCTCTTCTGCATGGAACGTATCATGTTCAACCACGGGCTCCTGGGACTGTGATGGAGACATTTTTAGGGGCCAGGGTTTTGCTAACCACAGCTAGAAATGAAAATAATGTAGTAACCCTCTCCTGACTTGGCTCCAGAACCTTCTTTCCCAACTTCTCCCTCCTCTGGTTTTACCCAAACAAACACAAACCAAGGTCTTGCTTTTCCCCCAAAATAAGAATTTATGTTGAGTAGGACTAGAACCAGTCTTGCTGGGACTGAGATCCAGTGCAGAGAAAAATTGGTTTCTATTTCTGAAAATTACCCAAGAGGGAGGAGCTGGCGTCTTTGCTAAACATAGTACTGACAGGCTCGCAGAACCCCAACTTTTCACCTGAGGAAGGGGCTGGAAACAGCCCAGCCATTCCATTCTCAGCCTGGCACAATTCCCCACTCTGCTTTGCAGGCTTACCCATGAGCACTGCCTGCATCTCCCTCCCATCCCGCCCCTAGGCACCAATGGAACTCCGCGGCTTTGCTGTCACCTCTCCTGTGACTTGGAAGCCCAGCTGCTCTGTTCTTCTGTGACAAAAGTGGACCAGGCTGACCAGACTGCCAGCCACAGACTCTGAGAAGAGTCCCTCAGTGGCAGCCTTCCTTGGACTCCCTCTGACATTACCTTCCATTGGGGCTCGAAGTGGGCTGCCACCTGGCCTTTGCCCAACCCCACATCCTGGATACAAGCAGGATGGATGTTTCCTGGATGTTGGCACAGGAATCCTAGTCTGCCGACCTTACCTCCTGAGGAAAGAGAAGCTATGGCATGGCAGGCCACCCGACTCAGGCAGATCCTAGAAGTGGGAGGCTGGAAGCAGAACCGGCTCCCCTGTAGTCAGGGTAGGAAAGCAGGGCTGCTCCCACAACCCCACAACCCATAGATAGAGCTCAGAGGCTGGGGGACGGGTTGTGCACCCATAGATAGAGCTCAGAGGCTGGGGGGATGGGTGTGTGCACCCATAGATAGAGCTCAGAGGCTGGGGGATGGGTGTGTGCACCCATAGATAGAGCTCAGAGGCTGGGGGATGGGTGTGTGCACCCATAGATAGAGCTCAGAGGCTGGGGGATGGGTGTGTGTACGGTTTTCCCCGCAACCCATAGATAGAGCTCAGAGGCTGGGGGATGGGTGTGTGCACCCATAGATAGAGCTCAGAGGCTGGGGGATGGGTGTGTACACCCATAGATAGAGCTCAGAGGCTGAGGGATGGGTGTGTGCATCCATAGATAGAGCTCAGAGGCTGGGGGATGGGGTGTGCACGGTTTTCCCCGTACTTTTTGTTTTGAAATGTTTTCTACTTCCACATCTCTCAAAATGTGTCCTTGGATGTTTCCCAAAGCAAACAGACAGACAGGGGGTTGGCCCTGATCCCCGGGAGACAGTGACTTTATACTAATTGTCTGGGGTTGCGTCCACCTACCTGAAGGTGGACAGACACACACAGGATACTCTGGGGTGCTGCCCTAGGGGTGTGCCCCTCATGGCTTCCCCTGGGAAGCCAAATCATTGAGGACTAGGGCCAAAAGAGGGGGAGGGAGGCAGATCCCCTGATTTGCCAAGCTGGAGAAGACACGAAGCCCAGGAGCGAGGCTTGCCTACTCTTCACGCTCGTTATCCACGTCCCGAAAATAGAACAGCCCTTCCCTGGAGGCTCAGTTCCTGAAGGTCAAAGCCTCAAATTCTTTGCAGACGCAAGCCTAGTAATTTAGGTAAAGACTGTGCAGGGTGAGCCAGACAACAGGGCACTGGACAAGGGAACGGACGCCTTCGGCGCACCCCACGCAGGCTGGCGGAGGCAGCTTCATGCACGGGAGCACAGCATGACCCTGCACGGCTGCAAGCGACAGGAGGGCCAGTCTCCAAAGATGCAGTTCCTTGTTCCCTGAAGTCCTGGCCGCAGGGACGTGACTGGCATCTGAGCATGAGTTGAGATGTCACTGCTCCTTCACGGCACTGTCTGTCAGATGATCCCAGCGGCTTCCTCTGGCCCGGTTTCAGAGCTGAGTGTGGTCAGCAAGAGATCACCCGCCTAGGTGCTGAGTTCAGCGCTCTCTTCCTGCTTTTTTCTTCTTCCTTCCTCCTTCTTTTCTCTTTCCTTTGTTTCTCTCCCTATAAAAACTTTATTACTTTTTACTTTAATTTTTTTTTTTTAGATAAGGTCCTATGTAGTCCAGGGTGACCTTGAATTCCTGAACCTTCTTTCTTTAGCTCCTTTACTAGGCTCACAAGCAGCTCCCCCACCGTGGCTGGTCCTTGTTTTACTGCGTCTGTGGTAGGCATGGCTTGTGGACAGGTAGATATGCTCAGAGAGGCAATGTGTGTGGAGGTCAGGGGTTAACACTTTGTTTTTTGAGACAGGGTTCCCCACTGAACCTCGAGTTCACTGTTTTGGCTAGACAGGTGGGACAGTGAGCCCTCGGAATTGGCCTGCCTCCATCCTCCCAGCACTGGGGTCACAGGCCACCGCACCCCAGCTTTTTTTATGGAATATAAACTCAGATGCTCGTGTGTGCAAATCACTTTATCCCCTGAATCATCTCTGTAACCCCTTTGTTTTGAGGCTGGGTATAATGTAGCCCAGGCTGGTCTCAGACTCACTGTGGCCAAGGATAGCTTAGAATCTCTTACCTTCCTACTGTCACCTCCCAGATGCTAGGGTCAGGCATGCACCACCACAACCAACTGGAATTTTTATTTTTATTTTATTTTATTTTGCATTGAGAAAGGGTCCCACTAAGTAGCCTTGTCTGGCCTGTAACTCACTATGTAGACCACACTGGCTCCAAACTCTTTAAAAGTCTGCCTGCCTCTGTCTCCAGAGTGTTGAGATTAAAAACATGTGACACCATACCTGGCTCGGATTTTGATCTTTACTGTCTCTTGTTTCAAGGCTTGTAGATTGATTGGTTAGTAATATGTCTTTAAAATTAAAAAAAGAGATTTTTTTTGCATGCTGGGATTGATTTTAGAGTTTGGTGGGTGCTAAGCAAGCACTCAACCACTGAGCTAAAAATATGTATATTTTAAATATACAAAAAAAAAAGGTCGAGAGTGCTCTAAAAAGCGGAGGAGCTTAGAGACAGTGTCGTCTGTCAGCCAACACGATTGTATTACCAGAGAGATGGGCCTCTGAACAAGCCTGGGAGGGTGATTGGGAGAACCTTAAAGTGGGAAGACCTGTCCACCGTGGGTGGTACTATTCCCTGTTGCAGTCCTGGAGCTGAGGGGCAAACGTTCACCCGTGGCTTGCCTCTCCTTCCCTGCCGCCAGCTCCTGCTACAGCCAGTTCTGGACGAAGGACTGGAGCCTTGAACTGGGAGCTCTGGGCTCTTTCTTCCTTCAGCCTCTCTTGGCACAGGATTTCATCCCAGCGACAGGAGTGGAGCGCAAGACTGGAAGCGCTTACCTTCCATTTGTCTCCGTAAACTCCTCAGCAAGGTTCTTCAAACTGCACAGCGAGACTGGCCTCTCCTGTTCGTGCCGCTCTGGCAGATGCAGCAGAGCCCCCCAGGGGAAAGGGTGCTTCTGAATACAGAGCCCCCTACCGAGATGTCGGCATTCTGGAGGGACGCCTTCCCACCCCACGCCTCCCTGGCTTCACAGGCTGAGAGTCCCAGAGGGGCAGATGAACCAACCTGGTACAGAGTTCAAAGGACCAATCAGTCTTCCTGACTTAGCGTGGCTAGAAAAACGTCCCCGCATCAGAGCTGGGCATTTGCAAATAAGCACAAAGCTTTTTAGGTCGAGTTGCTATTGCTCTGGGATCCCAGACCAAGAACTAGGCTCTAAATCGGGCATGGTGCCGCATCCTTCAATCGCAGGACTTGGGAGACAGAGGCAGACATATCCAGGGCTGCACAGGGAAACCTTGTCTTGAAATATGCGCGCGCACGCGCGCGCACACACACACACACACACACACACACACACACACACACACGGCGGTGTGCTGGAGAGAGTTAGACTCTAGAGCGAGGAGAAAACACATCTTAACTGCCAAGGATGGTGAGCACAGGGTCAGCTCAGCCTCCTTTGGGCTCTTGGCAGGCATCAGCGTATTCTTATGGGAGGACATGCTGAGCCCTCGCAAGTAAATCTGCCATCTGTCCCCCTTTGAAGCTCGCAGAGGCACAGGACTTGGGGAAGAAGGAGCAGAAGTCAGGAGCCACAGTGACCCAGGGATGCTGAGGAGTGCGCTGGCCTCCCTTTTAGGAACCTCGAATGTGTGCCCCCACCCCCCAGACTATGAAGAGTAGGCGTCTAAGTTCCTGTCCACACCGGGTCAGAGGAACCCGCTCCACTGAGGTAAGAGCCCACGTGGTGCAAGCATGAGGGTCTGAGTTTGAATCCTGGTCCCCACATAGAGATGTCAATAAAGCTGTGTGAGCCTGTAACCCCAGTGTTGGGGTGCAGACAAGGGCAGGGCTGCAGCGGCCAGCCCAGCCCAGCAAGACTGAGTGTTCTAGGTTCAGCTAGAGACCCTGTTCCAAGGGGATGAGGTGGAGAGCAACAGATCAAGAGCCCGATGTCTCCCTTGGCCCCTGTGGATCTTCACCTCTGTGGACATACATGCCAGCAATAAAGGAAACCGTGAGCGTGGGGGCTACCAACCACTCGAGGAAAATATCTTTTTCCCTGTTTCATTTTGCTCTCCCCCACCGCCCCCCCCCAACCCCAGCAGCCTACCATTATGCTAAATCTCCAACCCCTCGCCTTGTTTTTAAGACAGAATCTTGCCCAGACTGGTCTGGAATCTTCCCTCAGCCTCCTGAGAGCCAGGACTACAAACATTCATGTCCAGGTTTTAAAATGAGGGAATCTGTCTTCTGTGAGTTGAAGGCTATAGAACAAGTTCCAGCACCAGCCAGGGCTCCACAATGAGACCTTATCTCAAAAGAAAAAAAAATCAATATGTACATACATGTCTGTATACATGATCAGAGGTGCCGTTAAAGTCAGCCAGAGGCTGGAGAATGACTGACTGGTGACAGCTACCTAGCATGCCAAACTGATGGATGGTAAACCCCAAAACCGTGCTCAGCTGCCGACTCCAGAGATTTGGCCGGACTAGGGCAGTGAGGGAAAGAAATGACAAACGCATTGGCACGGGAAAGCTGTGGAAAGGGCTCGGTGTTTGGGAACACACGGTGCGGCTCTGGTTGGGGCGGGAACACACAGTCCGCTGGCTTCGCCAGCTGCTTTTTGTCTTCCTAATTACAGGAGGCCAGCGGCTCTTCCTGCAGCTCTCAGCAGAGCCTCATCCCTTCCCTGTCAGCAGAGGGAGGTGGCAACCAGCCCAGAAGCAGGCACTGTTTGGAGGGACTTTCTTGGTCCAGAAAGTGGTGTCATATAGCCCAGACTGACCTCAAACTCGCTGTGTAGCTGAAGATAACCTTGAACTTCTGGCCCTGCTGTGTCCGTGTCCCAAGTGCTGGGCTTACATGAGTGTGCCACCATGCTTGGTTTGCGCACTAGTGGGGATGGAACCCAGGGTTCCGTGCATGCTGGGTAAGCACACTGACGATGAGCAACATCCTCACTCCCCAGGTCATAAACTTTATGAATTTGTTCTACTGATTTATGTTTGGTTTTATGAGACAAAAGTTCACACTACAGTCCAGGCTGGCCTCATGCTGATGCAATTCTCCTGACCCAATCTCTCAATCTGGGATTGAGTGCATGAGGCACTACATCTGGCTTTTTGGTTTATTTTATTTTATTTAATATATTAACAGGGCTGGAGAGATGGCTCAGCAGTCAAGAGCACTGGCTGCTCTTCCAGAGGTCCAGGGTTTGATTTCCATTGTCCACTCGGCAGACTACAACCATATGTAAATCCAGTTCTAGGTAACCCAGCTCTGGGGTCACCCAACACCCTCTTATGGTCTCTGTGGGCACAACCCCACCCCCCCAACACACACACAATTAAAAAAAATAAAGCTGGCAGTGGTGGTGCAAGCCTTTAATCCCAGCACTCAGAGGCAGAGGCAGGTGGATCCTTGTGAGTTCAAGGCCAGCCTGGTCTACAGAGAGAGTTCCAGGACAGCCAGGGCTACAGAGAGAAACCCTATCTTGAAAAAAAATGAGAAAAAAAATAAATCTTTTAAAAATATGGAAACTTTAGAACCCAGCTTGGACTGGGCTGTAACACGGTGGTGGAGCACATGCCTGGAATACCTAGTGCTGGCTTCTGCCTCCTTTATTCTGTTCTTTTATTCTTCCTAATAATAATGGCAGGAGGGAAAGGGAAGGTGTGGGGGAGGGGCTTCTTCACTTAAGGACCCTCACCCAAAGGCTCAGTCATTCCAGTGCTAAGAAAACCACAGGGATATTTGGCCTGTACCATCCCTACATGGAAGCTATTCCCTGGAGAGGAGGTGGCAGGCTGCATCCACCCAGATGGCAGCTGAGGTCATTGCACCTGATGTCTAAAGTAGGCAGCACATTGAAGCCACCTGTGCTGGGCTCCCTTCTGAAATTGTGACTTACCTGCCCCAAATTGTTTTCAGAGGTCACCAGTGACCAGAGAAAAACAAACAAACAACAAAAAACAGAGGTGTCCTAAATTTAATGAAGAACACCACGCAGCCGTGCCTTCCCCTAGTGTGCTGTGATTTCAAACTGCCGCAAGCCTCTGGCGTCAATGCTCCCGGCACAGGGTCCACAGCTCTCTCCTCAGGGTCTCTCCTGCCCCAAAGCATTCTTCACTTGGCCTAACCTGCTCTTCAGGCCAGCGCAGGCGCGTGGAGACAACGTCGGCTTCCTTCTCCCCAGTCCATAAAAGTTTCCTTCACTCTCGGTCCAGCAGGCCGTGACCCGACTTCTAGCAAGCCCCGATGCTGTGGGTTGGAAAGACTTGTCTGAAGCTTGATGCTTTTTCTGGCTAGCATTTTTAATTAGCTTATATTAATTATACACAATAATGGATTTCATTTTAATATTTTCATGCATGTATGTGAAGTATTTGGGACAGAGTCACCCCCATTACCCTTTCTTGTCCCCTGTTTCCCATGGTCCCCTTCCTCATCTCAACTGGTTCCCTTAATTCTCCTTCTGTCCAACCCCCCACTGTGCAGTGTGTGTGGTGTGTGTGTGTGTGTGTGTGTGTGGTGTGTATGTATGTGTGATGTGTGTGTGGTGTGGTGTTTGTGTGTTGTGTGGTGTCTGTGTGGTATGTGTGTGTGTGTGGTGTGTATGTATGTGTGATGTGTGTGTGGTGTGGTGTTTGTGTGTTGTGTGGTGTCTGTGTGGTATGTGTGTGTGGTGTGTGTGTGGTGTGTGGTGTGTGGTGGGTTGTGTGGTGTTTGTGTGGTGATGTGTGGTATATGTGTGTGTGGTGTCTGTGGTGTGGTGTGTGTGTGTATAGGGTATGTGTCTGTGGTGTGTGTGTGGTGTGTGTGTATGGTGTGTATGGTGTGTGTGTGTATAGGGTATGTGTCTGTGTGGTGTGTGTGTGTGTGGTGTGGTGTGTATGTGTGTTTGGGTGCATCCTATAGAGAGTTTCTTGCAAAGGTCAGAGGGAGTTTCCAGGGAGTCAGTTCTGTCCAACCACGTGAGTCCTGAGGATTGAACTCTGGTTTCCAGTCAGGCAGCAAGCACCTTCACCCACTAAGCTGTATTACTGAACCCTGGCTAACTTTAATTTTTTTTTTTTTTTTTTTTTTTTTGGTTTTTCGAGACAGGGTTTCTCTGTGGTTTTGGAGCCTGTCCTGGAACTAGCTCTTGTAGACCAGGCTGGTCTCGAACTCACAGAGATCCGCCTGCCTCTGCCTCCCGAGTGCTGGGATTAAAGGCGTGCGCCACCACCGCCCGGCTCCTGGCTAACTTTAAAACAAAAA